GATGGTGACGGGCTCTGCCTACAGGGTGCCAAGGGTCTACTTCTGCATGACGGGCACCAGGCTCCGCTCTAGAAGTCTCACTGTCACCAAAGCCAAACTCCCTGTGAACAAGAGAGAGGGAGGGACGAGCCATGAACATCCCATGTGCGGGGCGGGGTGGGGGGGGGAAGCTGAGCAGCGCGGGGAGCAAGGGGAGCACGGGGACCCCAGGAGCACGCAGGTGCCCAGGACACATGCCCTGACAGGCAGGTGATGGGGCAAGGGAAGTTCCTGCTGGGAAGGAGAGGACAGCGATGACAGTGACCATGATGCTGTGATGCCAGTCGGCGGTGACCGTGGCGATTCCCGGAGTGTTCTCGGCCTCCGGCTCTCACTCCTTCATGTTTGCGCAGCTCGGGGAACCAGCCCCTGGTCCTGACAGGCTGCCAAAGCCATGCCAGTTCCTTCCTCAAGTTCAAGGTGGAGCTTAGCTCTGGCCCAAGGTTGTGGAGTAAGCGGTCAGCCGCACCCTTATCACAAAGCCACGAACACGCACAGGGCCAGGGTCTCTGGGGTCTTGCTGCTCGGCAATGAGTCCTTCTTAAATCGGCAAGAGGGACTCGGTGCTGTCTCGGGGCCAGCCCCTGCTCAGAGCCACAGGGCTTCAGGCCTGGGCCACGCCGGGATCTTTGCTAAATCCTGGGGCTCCCGGGCCAGGCTGCTCCAGTGCTAACTGGAGATCACAAAGCAAAACAGCAAAGAGCCGCGAGCTCTCCTGGGCTCCCTGTGCCCTTTGGCTCTGGCTGTCCCTCGGCCCTTCCCTGGGTCTCTGTGGCCTGCAGGAGCAGGCTGTGGCTTCACCTTAAGGTCTGGCGGTGCGGTCCCCTTGCCTGGGACACGGTGCACACGTTATCCGTGGAGGCAGGCTGAGCCCGTCGGCTGGGCTGCCCTGGAAGAGGACTTCAAGAGCGAGAGCCGTCGGCTCCGTGAAGGGCCACACACACCGTTGATTGATATTCTATTATTAGGGGGGAAGAGACAGCGTTTTATGGGGATTTTGGTTTCAGTGAAAATATTTCTAATAATAAAAATAAAAAGGAGATGATGGATTATTCTGGGATAGCTCCTTGGTTCCAGAGAATTCTGGAACTTGTCCCAGACAGGAAGGACAGCTCTAGGAGTCCAGTGGCGTCTGCCTTCAGAGGCCACTGTTGGAATCACTGAGAGCCAACTCCCCCTGCCCTTTGAGTTGGTTGGTACCAGAACCAACTCCCAGGGTGGGCGGAGCTTCTTGGGGGCTCTGCAGAGGGCCGCTGGCTCCTGGGCTAAGGGGAGGCTTCCTGTTTGCACCGGGTGACAAAGTCCTGTCCCACCGACAGCTCTGGGGGCTGGCGAGGGCAGGGTTGGCTTCTCGGTGGCTCTGGATGGATCTCCTCTGACCTCACACCTTCGTTCCCGGTCCTGGTCTCCTTTCATAAGGTCACCAGTCCTGCTGACCACATTTAGTTGCTCCTGACGGGCCCATCTCCCAGGACAGTCCCAGTGGGGGTAGGGCTTCAGCAACGGATTGGGGGCCCAATTCAGTCTGTAGTGAGGGCCTGGCCCTTGATTAATAAACCAGTTGGAGAGTGGAGACCCCAAGAGGTGCGTTCCCCGGGGTCAGAAGGAGCTGCGTGTGAACGATCCTATACAAGTGGGACCGTGGCCCCAGGATGGAAGTGGCGAGGCGAGATGGGCCACTGCCCCAGCGGGCACTGCGGGGCCTGGGGAGCAGCCTGGCCTCACCTGACGGGGGGACGTGAGCTCTGGTCAACCCTGGGAGCTCCGGTGCTGTTTCTCGCCATCCGTGGCTTGGGCCAGGAGGGCCTGAGGGAGAGCAGCCCTCTGCAGCCGGGCCCCCACCTTGATTTTGCCTGAACCTCAGCTTTCCAGGCACCAGACAGCTTCCCTCTGCGCTGTGCAGGGCCCCTCGCCCTGCGGCCCCCCCACCGTCCCAGCTTACGGGTCCGTGTCTGGGAGTGACTGAAGACACTGGGAGTCCTGAATCACAGCCAGCAACCGCACCCAGCAGCCGGTCACTCTGAGCATCCCTCTGCAAAGGTTGCGGTCTACACCACAGGACCAGTGGACACACCCCTGACGCGCTTGCGCAGTGTGGAATCAGGGCAGAAGATGGAGGAGGACCAGTCCAGGCTCAAGAGCCCTTTCCAGGCCTTCGGGCTGGTGCCCACCTGCTCACTCTCACCTTCCTCTCGGGGCCTCGGGTCAGCCCTGGCCAAGGTGGCCTCATTCGGCACTTCACCGTGCTCGTCCACCAACTGGTTCCCTTTGAAAGGTGACAGAGCTGTATGTTCCCCCGCTCTCTGGAGACTTCAGCGAGGAGGACGGATGGGGGAATTGACATGTTAACCACGGGACGAATTAGCTGGAGGGTGTGGAGCAAGTTTTTAACATTTACCATCTAATTGCAAAAACACGGGGCGGCTTTAGTCTGGAGAATGCAGAAGAAGTGTAGAAAAGAAGAATCGCATATAATGGCACTGCCGGGGGACGGCTGGTGAGCACCTCGGCCTGTGCCCCCAAACTTGAGTCTCTTTATCAGAGCACGGGCAGAGCAGGTCTATCTGGCCCCCCGAGGCCCCTACCGGGCCTGGCTGTGTCTGGCTGTGCCTGGCTGTGTCTGGCTGTGTGTGCAGGTTCTTGGCGAGGAAGGGGACCCACTCTGGGGCTGCTTGGCCCCCTCCCCTTGGCTGGACCGTAACTCATTACCAAAGCCCCTGTTTGGGGACCTTGACATCACTGCTGAGTTTGTCCCTTTCTTAAAACATCAGCAGCAAACCCTCGTGTGTGTGGACTTTGGTGTGAGCCTTGGCTTTTCCTTTGGGAGCACCGGCTGGTGCAGAGGACTGGATCTGGGTTCATCTGGGCTCTGAGTAGTGACAGGTCCGTGTCAAGCCCTAGGAGAGTCGAGCCTCTGGCACATAAGGCCACAGCGAGCTGTGCTCTGCTCTGGGGGCGGCTGGCCACCCGGGCCCTAGGCTCCTGTCTGACCAGCTTGGCGGAGGTGGGCCTGGCGGGCTGGGAGTGCTGCAGGAGTCTCCCACCTGCTCAGGACGGGGTCCCCTGGGTCTGGCCAAGAGCCCACCTGGACTCAGCAAGACGGGGAGTCTCTCATTTCCCCACCATCTGCCGGATCCCACTCCCAGGCCCCACTCAGTGGCTGCAGGAGGTGGTGTGGCCTGGCAGTGTCCTCCCAGGGGAGAGGACTGGGCATGGCCTTGGTAAACCAGCCAGGCTCTGGGGTAAGAAGGGGGAAGCTCTCGGGGAAGGCGGCAGCAGGAAGTGGCCCAGGTTGGAACCCAGGCAGCCTGTCCTGGGGCCACAGAGCCAGCTCACTCCAGTCCACGGGAGGTCGGGTTCTGCAGGGGACTCCGCCGTGAGCAGGACAGGGGGAGCATGGGCAGAAGTGCATGATGGTAAGTGATGGAGTGACAGTGATCCGTGACCGTGGAGAGTGGCCTACCAGGGGAAATGGGTGCAGGCGGACTGTGGTGCAGCCCGAGGAGAAGGGGACATGCGGAGGCAGCCTTCTCTGTGAGCGCAGGAGGGACAGGCTGCTGTCTGTCCTGGGGATGCGCTGTGGCTGCCAGCAGGGGCGGGGGTGCAGAGGAGGGTGGCCACCAGGTGGGACCTGGCCTGAGGTCTGTCCAGGCCCTGGCCCTGCAGTGGGCGGGCGCAGGTGTGAAGTGTGCTGACAATGGGCGGTGTGCCGAGGCAGGGTGACCCTCGAGGCTGGTGCAGGTTGGCCGAGTGGCCTGTCAAGAATGTGGGAAGAGTGGACTTTAGGGGCAGGGGGTCAAAAGCTCAGGTTTGAACACAAGAAATCTCCAAACCCAAGAACCTCAGGAGACTAGCAGCACAGCCCAGTACCAGGTGCAGCCTGGTCCCTGGCACCTGGACAGTACTCCGGGCTGCTGGCTGCTCTCAGTGCCGGCTACTGCCATCCCTGACCACCTCGCCAGTCGGCAGGGCCCCCGCAGCATCCTGCTCCCCACTGCTGTTTCATGACCTGGGCCTCCCGGTACGATCTCCCCCAGGGAACTATGAGCTGCGGCTCAGGGCTGGAGGGAGGGGCCTGAATACAGTGCAGCTACAGCGATGCAGACATGAGAAGAGCAGGTGCCAAGGCCCTGGGGCAGACTGAGGCTTCGTGTGTGGTGGGGGTGAGGAGGAAGAACGGCAGGGGAGGATGCAGAGGCGGACTAGGGGTGGATCCTGGGGGCCACGAAGACAAGCAGTGAGAACGTGGCTTCCCTGTGATGGGCACAGCCGACCCGGAGCAGACCCTTGTTGAGAGCAGCGGGGAGCTCAGGGGCAGGGATCAGCCTCGGGGCCCCTGCAGGTGTCTGAGCTTGAGACGCGGCTTGGCAAGGGTGGAGGAGGCGGCCAGCCTGGGACACGGTTTGAAGCTTGGCGGGCTCCTGCTGCGGCTGCCCTGGATGTGGAGGGGAGAGGACTCGCCGACACCGAGCGTCCTCTGGAGGATCAGCTTTGGCTTTTGCTGGCACAGCCCTGCGCTGAGCAGATTTGGGGCGCACGGGAAGGTCTGGGTTGGACGGCCGGCAGTGCCGTGAGAGCTGCGCCTGCTCAGACGTCAGGCCCGACTACCAGCTCTGGGGCGCGTGACTCGGGATGCCAGCTTCCCACTGTGTCCCGAGGTGCAGACGGGCCGCCTGGTTCTGGACAATTGTCCTCTGGTGCTTTCTGACCCGTCACGTGACCTTTGACCTCTCTCCCGGCTGTAAAAAGCAGGGTTGGCGGTGCTGCCCTCCGGGGCCCCTTCCAGCCAGAGGCTCTGGGAATCCAGGAAGTCCCGATTTAGCCGTGTGGCTTTGGAAGCTGGCAGCAAGCAGGGGGTGGAATCCGGAAGGCCCTGGCCATTGTGAGCCCAGTCTAGACGCCGGACGGAGGGACGGGGAGCCACCAAGGCAGGCAGAAGTGAAAGTCCCTTCCGCCGGCCCCGCCCCCTGGGAAGCAGTGACCAGCCTCCTTGGCACCCCCCTGGCTGGGCCAGGCCGCTATTGTCCTGCGTCCAGAGTCACCGGCCAGCCCAGTGCTTCCTCCTCGATAGATAACGCCGTCGGCCTGCAGGGCCAGCCCGTGCCCGCTGCAGCAAGCGCCAGCAGGAGCGGGGTGTGGGGGGGCTTCGCCAGGGGACTCCCAAGTGTTGTGAGTTTCTGTTTGTCACTGTGAATCCCGTGTCGTCGGGGCCAACGTGGCAGTGACTGCTGCGTGGGGAGGGCACCAAGTGTGCAGGCCGCCAGGGGACATCCCGGCCGCGGACACAGTCCCTGCAGCAAGCTCTCCGCCCAGCTGCACAGGAGCGTTGCCCAGGTGACCCTCCCCGCTCTGGGGTGCTGTGGACCCTGGCACTGAGACCCAGGTCTTCCCACAGGAGCTGGGCAGCAGCATGGTCTGAGGCCCCCAGCTCGGAGCCGGTGTGAGACTTCGCTCTCAAGCTTGAGTGTGGGTCCAAGCACTTGGGGATCAGGTTGGAGTGCAGTGGACCCGAGCAGGTCTGGGTGGGACCCGTGTTCTGCATCACCTCCACCCCCAGGGCACCCTGGGGCAGCTAATCAGCTGCTGCTCAAAGCCCCTGCAGGCTCCAAGCGCTCCCTGAAGCTGACCAAGGGGGGGCAGGTTCTCCCAGGGACGGGGCGGGCATCAGAATGCTACCGGACAGGAGAGAAGCAGAGCTGGGCGCGAGGGCTGCCCTGTGCGTTTGGGATGCCCACAGAGGACTGGCTGAGTGGACGGGGCAGGGCTCTGCATGACCTCCAGGTGCAGGGGTGTGGCTTCCAAGCAAGCTCCGCCATAGGCGCGAGGTGCCGGTGTCACTCACCCTCACGTGGTGTCCAGGGCAGGGTTCTAGCTCTCCAGCCCTGGGCTCCCATTGCCATGTCCGGGTCCCGACCTTCCTCAGCCCCAGGATGCCACTTTAGGCCACATTCTTCCACCAAGGTGCACCGTCCCCTGCAGAAGGAGCCCTGGGAGGGGCAGCAGCAGAGGCAGCAGCTCCCGGGTCTGGTCAGGGCTGGGCCCAGACAGACCACTGTCCTTCTGCTCCTCACTGCACACCCGCTGGCCTCCCCAGCCAGGATGGGGCCCCGGAGGACAGTGCCAGCTCTGTGGGACCATAGAGGACATCCTGGAGGTGTGTGGATGGAGAGCCCACCCAGAGGCCCCGCGTGGCCGGTCACTAACACCTGGAGAAGGGCGGGGCGTGGGTCCAGGAGAAAGAGCCCTGGACGTCCTCGCAGGGGTCCTCCCCTCACTCGTGACCCCTCCGTCTTCAGTGGTGCACAGAGGCGCTGCCTCCCGGCCCTCAACCACCAGGGCTTCTGCAGCCGGGGAGCCCTGAGGACGGATCTCCTCTGAGGGCAAAACTGGGAGCCACAACCCGAGTTAAAGGTTGGAAAATCCTAGTGGATGCAAGGTGACGGGGTGGCCCTCAACCTGGGGAAGCTGTAGGAGCCACCTCAGCCCTTCCTGTCCCAGCGACCCAGTGCCAGACCACATGCACACGCACACACACACACACACACACACACACACACAAGCACACACAAGCACACACACATGCATACACACCCACCGGGGGTGAGCAGGACAGTTGCCTGGTTTGATGATTCTGTATCTTCTCTTTCCTAAACAAGCCTCACCATGAATAGCGCTAAGATAGGGTCAATTAGATGTCCCTGCCCAGGCTGGCGAGCGCCCCTCGTGGACTGGAGGTTCTGTGGTCAGCTGCAGGCTTCCCTGGCCCCTCCTGGCCTGATGAGGCTGTGTCCACTCGCAGCTGCAGCCACGTTCTCTTTGCACCATGTCGGTGTATCTTGCATTCGAAGCTCATGGCAATGTCACTCTGTGAAGGGACGTTTTTCCAGGTGGGAGGAGACACCCTCAGTGCAGTCCTGGACGGTGTCCCAGGGCGAGGAGTGGTCCCACCAGGACTGGGCCACTCTCCTAGCTCTGGACTGGGGGTCGCTGTCGAGCAGCAGGAGACGCTGATGCAGAGGTGGGGAGCCTGCTGTGGGGACGTGGCCTGGGAATCCCAAGGACGCGGAAGGGGCCGCTCTTCCATCCGCAATTGCAGGGGCCAGGGAGAGGCACAGCCCGAGGGCTCCAGCCCGGGCTCCCAGCAGAGGCGGCCAGAGCGTCCCTCGGAGCTCACTCCCCCGAGGAGGACTCCGGCCAGGCCTTGGGCAGCCCTGGCAGCCACGCACGGCTCGGCTGGTGGTCCCCATGCTCCCGGGAGCCAGCGGGATCCTCCCGGCCTCTCTCCATGCTGGCTGCCCTGTTACCAAGCCGGGGAGCCTGGGGAGCTGGGCACTGGAGCCCCCGCTCCTCCGGGGGGAGCTGGCAGCCCCCCGTGGTCTGTGCACTGACTGTCACAGGGTCCTTGGGGATGGGGAAAAGCCATGTCCATAGACATCCCTGCTGCCCATGGTTCTCTGAAGACGGGAGAAGGAGAAAAGGGAGCTGATCTGAAGCACCAGGGGACGGTGGAGGTACTGATGGCACAGACGTCACCAAGCACCAGGGAGAGAGCAGCAGCTGAGGCTGGAGGTCAGGGAAGGTCACAGAGCCAAGCGTCTGGTGAGAATCCAGCGGGTGACAGTGCCAGTTCTCTCATGCCACCTGAGTTCTACCTCAAACAAAGTAACAAGCACAGCTGGGCCACTGGGAGGCCACCAGGGGCCGAGTCCTGGCCTCGTGCTGGTTGGAGAAGCCCTCTCCTCGCCTCACCGACTCGGGGCGTCTGTGCCTCCTGGTGCGGGTTCACTGCTGAGAGGCGTGCCCAGCAGGGCGTCCCTGTGGGAGAGGGAGCTCAGGGAACGAGGCTGACAGACGGTGGCATGGGCAGCCTGGGCATGTGGCGAGGGGGCGCCGACACTCGGAGTTTGGTTGTGAGGAGGAACTTGGGGCCAGCAGCACAGCTGGGGCACATCAGGATGCCGCTGGCCGCTCTGGTGTGGGAGCAGCCCGAGGGCTGTCACCGCCCCTCTGCCGACTCCGCTGCCTCGCACACGAGGTCCGGGCCGAGGCTTGGGCAGGAGAGACCTGTGCCTTGGGACATGCACAGGGAGAAACGTGGGTGCTTTAGGATGCATAGGGTTTGCAATGGAGAGAGCCAGCAGCCACTGTGTGAAGCCCTCCCCACACGGGCACCTGCAGCAGGGGAGGCAGGACTGGGGATCCCCTGGGCTCCGGGAGGGCAGTTCATTCCCTGGGGAGCAGCAGCTCAGCGTGAGCAGCGTTGGCACCGCACCTTGAGGACACTTCTGTCCACGGGAATGAAGCTCTGCATCGGGTAAGTGTGCCCCAGGGACAGGGACAGGGACTGGGGAAGGCACGGGGCACGCCAGACCCCCAGACCAGGGTGGTCAGACCTGGGGGGGCCTTCTTGAGTCATCTCCACATTCGTTTAGAAACTCAAGTGGCCACTCAACTTGGAGCATGGACCCCAGCCGCGGAGGAGCTGTCCCAACGGCAGCCCCCAGATCAGGACAAGCAGAAACCAGGGAGGCGAGGCTCGGGACCCCACCCAGGACGGGCACCATGCAGAGGTGCAGAAGCACATCCTGTCGGGAGGCATGGCCCACAACTGACCCAAGGGACGCTGCACAAAGTCCAACCCCACATGCCCACGAGGAGCTCAGTCTGCGGATCCCGGGAGGCTTCACTCTGACTCAACATGGCAGCAAGCTTACGGCCCACTCTGAAAGGGAGTCAGTGCCTGTCTTCCAGCTGGACCGAGGCCTTCCACGTTGTTGACCAGTTTCAGCCGGGATCTGTGGGCCAGGCAGGAGCACTATGGCGTCAGAGTCCAGTGGAGAGCTTGTCCTAACCACACCAACGAAAGCCGGTCACCATGAGTGCCCGGCGCGGCTCTAGCTCTCCCATCCCTCACTTGCCATAGGAAATATCGACAAACCGCCCCCCACTGAAGGGCCGAGGACTCGCGGCCTCCACGCGGACTGTGCGTCGAGCAGCTGATTACTAAAACCACACGCTGACTGTGGCTTAGTGACGTCTGTGAGATGGCTCGGCTTTCTGAAGTGAGACTTGCTTTTCACTTGTTTCACATTTGTAGTTTCACGCTCTTTGCCTGAAAGAGGGATCCCCAAATTGCATGAGGTTTGGGCTCAGGAGACCTGGATCTGTGGGTGGCGGCAGAGCAGATGGACCCTCGTCTGGGTGAGTCACTTGAAGGAGGACGGATGGGAAGTGAAGCTGCTCTGAGACTGGACGTGGAGGCTCGCCGTGAGGCCCAGCCGAGGCCGCAGGGCCGGGCAGTGGGTGTCGGGCCTGCGGGGCTTGGCTATGGCCCTTCCGTGAACGCCACCGGCTCAGGTCCATGAAGCCTCGCTCCCACTCAGGGCCCCAGCCTCCTGCAGCATCTTTAAAGGGTTAGAAACTCACCTGAAGAGGTGCCAAGGGGCAGGAAAGTGGGCACCCGTCCATGGAGCTCTGGAAGCACCTCCCGGGAGGACGCAGCCTGCAGTTGTGCTCCCGACACTCGGGGGTCCCTGGACGGCAAAGGCACGGGGCAGCGCTGTGGTCCTCAGTGGTGACGGCCCGGCTTCTGAGGTGCGGCCAGAGCTCAGCGAGGGCCAGGTCAAGAAGCGAGGGTCCCATCAGGAGGAGCCCGAGCTGCAGGCAGTCCACTGTCACCTCCAGATGGGCTGCAGAAGGAGGCAGCCCCGCCTCCCCAGGCCCCGAGGAAAGACCCAGGCCACCGGAGTCATGTGACGAGTGGGGGCGAAGCACACGGGCGGTTCTTTCCACGGAGCCTGGGCCTGCGCCTGGTGTGCAGCTGGCATGGTTCCCCTCTGACCCCACCACTGAGCTTCCCAGAGGGCCTCGGGAGACCTGTCACATGACTGTGTGTTTGGGGCTTTACCGTCCTCTACACAGTGAGGCGAGGCTCTGAACCCCACGGGAGCCCCATGAACTGCTCTCTGGCCGCGGCAGAGGCCAGAGTTCCAGGTGTGCTGGAAGGAGACAACCAGACACGTTCAGGCGGGCCTCGGTTGTCCATCCCGGGACAGAAGCAGGCTTTATGGAGGACTTGTCTCAGCCACGCTGGCCACGAGGGCAGAGCCCGGCTTGGCCCCGGCCTCACAGACAGGGCCCCCCGTCTCCTGGGCACTCTCGGGAGAGAGCCGACGGACTCTCCATCCACAGGTGGACTGGGGGCGTGGGTTCCCTGTGCCACA